AGCTGACACGGGACCCCCTTCTGCTCTCTACCACTCAAATGAACGCAATGAATGAACTCAATGAAAGCACCAGTGCAACAATCATTTTGACTGTCAATAAGATACTCACAGCTGCCAGAGATATACCAGCTTATGGCATCCTTTTCCAAAGAAGGAACAATGATATTGTGTGATTTCTACCTACCAGATAGTAACTCAACGTCCTTCTCCTTAGTTGACATCGTTCATTTTTGTGCCAACGGTTACCAATAGTAATCGTCATATTGGTGCATTCAAACACACATTTTCAGGTTAAGCTGACTAGAAAATACGCATCTCCACGCAATTCTAAGCACGTCCATGCAGCCGATCGGATAGCTTCGCCATCTTGAATTCACACCGTTTGTCTTGCCACTAGTGGCCAGCGTTTTCGATTAATCCGACGCTCTCGAACCTTGGATCGATTAAGGTGCTACTGGACATAGTGTCTCTTGACGCTTACTGGTAATTTTTGCGGTTGTTCCCCTTTATATTCCCTTTTCACACCCAGTTTTGCCTTTTTGTGGTCGTTTTACGGTGGTATACGTGTTTGTCAGTTCTGCTGTTTTTCACTTTGACGGAGACTGAAGGTCGTTCAGCAACCATGTCGAAAGTGATGTACACCCCTACTGACAAACACGTTATACCACGTAAAACGACCACAAAAAGGCAAAACTGGGTGTGAAAACGGAATATAAGGGAACAACCGCAAAATTACCAGTAATGCGTCCCAACCCGACCACTGTTCTCTCCCCTCAAGGAAAGCAACACCCATTGAAGGCGAGTCCAAGGTTCGAGAGCGTCGGATTAATCGAAAACCGCTGGCCACTAGTGGCAAGACAAACGGTGTGAATTCAAGATGGCGAAGCTATCCGATCGGCTGCATGGACGTGCTTAGAATTGCGTGGAGATGCGTATTTTCTAGTCAGCTTAATCTGAAAATGTGTGTTTGAATGCACCAATATGACGATTACTATTGGTAACCGTTGGCACAAAAATGAACGATGTCAACTAAGGAGAAGGACGTTGAGTTACTATCTGGTAGGTAGAAATCACACAATATCATTGTTCCTTCTTTGGAAAAGGATGCCATAAGCTGGTATATCTCTGGCAGCTGTGAGTATCTTATTGACAGTCAAAATGATTGTTGCGCTGGTGTTCATTGAGTTCATTCATTGAGTTCATTGAGTGGTAGAGAGCAGAAGGGGGTCCCGTGTCAGCTCCTTCGCTTCCCGATCTTCCAAGGATTGCAAGCGAGTTGGCTGTCATGGCTCAGGATGTAATACCAGCCCTGCAGGATCCTGGAGTACTCAGTAGGAAGATGTCTAGCAAACGTTTGAAACTCGCTTCTGATTGCGCATTGACAATCGGGTCCGGCAGTCGGTTCCAATCATTAGTCACTCGAGTAGAGAGAGCGACATCTGAGCGGACTTTGAGCCTCCTCGGTTTAAAAAGCTTCCAGCTGTGACCTCGAGTCGAGCTGCCAAGTCTTAGCTGAAAGAACTGCCTTAGCTCGTTTCCCAGTTCTCCTCGTAGGATGCGCCTGGTATAGATGAGGTCTCCGCGACGTCGGCGATAGTCTAAGGGAAAAAGGTTCATCCTCTGTAGGCGGGTGGGGTACGGGAGGTTGCGTAGCCCAAGGACAAATTTCGAGGCTCGTCGCTGTATTTTTTCGATCTTGTCACTTTCATGTTTAGATAAGGGGGCTATGGCCGGATGTCCGAATTCAAGAATGGGACGGATATGGGAGGTGAAGAGAAGTCTAAATATCTGCGGCGTCATTTTAGAGAATGATCTCCTTATGGCGCCCCACATCCTGTTCGCCGCAGCAGTTTTCTTTAACGTGTCAAGGGTCGTTTTGAGATCAGAGGAGATTATTGTCCCCAGGTCCTTTTCCTGTGTGGCAATCTTGAGTAGGTGCCCGCCAATGTGATAGATGCCCAGTGGTTCAGCAGCACCTATAGAAAGGACTGAGCATTTATCTTTGTTGACCGGCAAACCCCACTTGATAGACCAGGAGTGTAGTAGATCAAGCGTTTCCTGCAGTCGGTCGGCATCTTCGAGGCTGGACACTTCCGACCATAGCTTGAGATCGTCTGCATAGATCAGACAGTCCGTTTGTAGAATACTTGGTAGATCATTGATATATATTTTGAACAATTCCGGTCCGAGAACGGAGCCTTGTGGTACGCCACTATACATGGGCACGGGGAATGAGAGGGTATCGTTTACTTTGACTTGCATGTTCCGGCCTTGCAAGAAGTCACTGATCCATAGTAGGAGGTTCCCTGTCACGCCAATTCCGCCGAGCTTAGAGAGTAGTTCCTGATGTGGGACTCTGTCAAAAGCTTTGCTGAAGTCGATGAAGACCACATCTAAACGTTTTCCAGCGTCCACTAATTTGGCCCACTTCTCTCTAGCGACCAACAGGTTAGTGATGCAGGAGTGCCCCTTTCGGAAGCCATGCTGAGTGACTGAGGTGAAGTTCAGATCTTCGCAGTGTCGGTGGAGAGCAGATTTAATGAGCTTTTCCATGATCTTGCAGGCGACCGACGTCAAGCAAATTGGCCGATAGTTCGCAGGGTCCTGGCGGCTTCCCCCTTTGTATTTCGGCATAACTACACCCGTCTTCCAATCGACAGGTAGTCGACCAGCTTTAAGAGAGAGCTGAAAGATTTGACAAAGTGGGACGGCAATGAATTCTGCAACCATCTTGAGAAAGTGTGGATGTAACCCGTCTGGGCCTGGTGAGGAAGAGGAGTTCAGTTCTAGTAGTAGCTTCAAGATAGCACCTGCATCGATGTCGATATGTTCCAGAGGTACTGTGTGCGCAACTATATGAGGGTTTGCGAGTCTGTCTCCCTTCGTATATACTGAGGAGAACTGTAGAGCCAAGAGGTCAGCTTTGGCGTCATCATCATAGTGTATCATATCTGGCTCATTGGTAGACAATGCAGGAATTCCACAGCCCGTCTTGGAGGATCTATTGAGGTAAGAAAATAGTATCTTTGGCCTAGAGAGAGATTGTTCGGCCAGGCTATGTTCGTATCGTTGTCTCTTTTCACGTTTCTGCAGGGAGCAGAAGTTCCTGATGGCTTTGTATTTAGAGTAGTCTGAGTCTGAGCGGGAAAGCTTGAATCTGTCCCATAGTTTTCGTCGTTGTTTCATGTTGGCCCTTAGTTCTCGGTCGATCCAGGGAGGACCCTTAGAAAGAGGCCTGTTCTTCTTGAATGGGACGGCCTCCTCGATGAGAAGCTTCAATTTGCGGGATAAATCGTTCCAAGCAGCATCGAGATCTAAGTGTTGTGGAACATTCCAGTCCAATGTACCTGCTGCCACCCTTAGCTTGAATGCGTCGGTTCGCCAGAAGTTGCGACGGTGTGCGCTCCGGGTTCGGATAGCTAGACGTTTAGTCCATAGGAAGGAGATTGTACAATGGTCGCTTTTGCCTATGGGTGGTAGAAGGGTCAATTCTGAGACATCTGCCAGGGACGGAGTGAGCACAAGATCAAGAATGTGCGGAGTCTGGCCGGGAAGAAGCCTGGTGGGCGATGTTATATGCTGGGTGAGATTCGTTTTGAGGACAGTTTCAAGGAGGCTGGTGTCAAATGACTCGGGGGAAAGGTGGCAGTGTAGTAGATCCCAATTGATATGCGGGGCATTGAAGTCGCCCACAATAAGACAATCTCTGCGGTTTCCATGCGAGTTGATAAAGTCTAGTACAGAAGTACCATGTCCCCACGGGGCTTTGTAGATGACGCCAACCATAAGGGATTTGAAGCCATCGTTGATCCTACACCAGAGTAGCTCTGCGCCACCAACAGCGTCGCTGACGGTTTCTACGAGATGAACTTGAAGATCCTCTCTCCAGTAGAGTACTACGCCACCACCAACTCTAAATCCAGATCGGTCAGTACGGAAAAGTTGGTATCCTGAGATGTGGATCTCAGAGTCGGAGATGTCTGAAGTGAGCCAAGTCTCAGTGAAGGCCAACAGGTCAGGAAGTAGCTTTGCGGTAAGAGCATGTACCTCGTCAAATTTGTTTCTGAGACTACGGACATTTGCAACCAATACCTGTAGTCCATTCTTTCTCCTTGTTTTTAAGTCCCGGGGATGAGGAACAGTGGTTTCCAGCGGGACCTTATAGTTTATTGTCCGGGGGTGAGGAGAATGGGCCTCCAACGTGTTTTCGGAGTCCTTCGAACTACTCGAAAATCCACAATATGGAGGTCTGTTTCACCACTTCCCCGTCTTGTGCGTAGTTCTTCTACGGCCTTTTTCATTTTGACTCGATCTTCTGGTGAGAGGTCACGAAGTACATAGAATGGCTCGCCTTTGAGACGCGAGGTCCTTCGCAGGATGCGTCGGCATTCCTCCTCATCCCGGCAAACGATTTTAAGGGGGCGATTTCTCGAGATATCCTCTTGTTTTTTACCAAGACGGAAGGCAGATACAATATTGATTCCCTGTTCACCTTTGTCAAATAGCAATGAGACCAATCGCTCAAGCAGTGTTTGGTCATCTAGTATTCGTTCCGCAGGGGTTGGTTTTTCCGATTCCGCTGCGTTCATGATGATAAGACAACGGTCGCGAGATGGCTGGGTACGTTCAGGAACATGTGGCTTGCTACGGGGCGGATTTTCCTTGGCAGCTTTCTCAAGCTCAGATAGTCTGTCGAGAACAAGCTTCATTTGAGACTGAGATGATAGCTTAGGTTTGGGTTTCTCGACGGGCTTAGGCCTGGACTTGGCGCCACCTGTAGTCGGGCTATTGCAAATAGGGACAGAGACCGCGCTTTCCCTCACAACTGCCGCATAAGATCTTGTGGTGGGATCAGTGGGCAGGATCTGTGTAGATGGATCCGTATGCGTAGTGGACGTGGTTCGACTTCGCTTGCCTATGGGGGTGATCCAACCGGAGGTAGATGTTGATGGTGAGCACGGTGGAGCAGATGTATCGTGAATCGTATCAGGCTTCGTCGGAGAAGAAGAATCAATGCTCAACGCAGATAGTCCGGCGAGAAGACGCCTGCAATTCAGTGAGGCACGGCAGTTGTCGCAAAAGAAATTGATGGCAGGCGAGGTGAATCGCTGCAAGTGCATATATTGATCAGGACAGATGCCGCAGCAGGCGATGTGCATCCACCCATCACATTCAGAGCACTGCACTGCTTTGGAACGGGTGGTGACACCTTTACTACAGGACAAGCATTTGGACGCCATGAAAGATGAGGTCCAAATATTCACTAGATGATTCTCCAGAAACGATCTTTACTCTCTTTTCTTCGCCCAGAAGATCACAGTGGAACGTAACACACAAGAGGACGTCGCTCTCACAGGTACAGGTACAGGTACAGGTGGGATCCATTTCGCATTGAGAAGGTTCTGATCGATATTCTGGAAAGCTCTGTGGTTGTATTATGATGCCTAAAAGAGTTATAGAAGTTATCAGGTTACAGTGAAATGTTAAGTATTGAAAGTAATACGGCAGCTGTCTAGACACTGTTAGATAAATCGGTTCACGACGAAGTGAAGAAGATTTCACGGGGCCTCTCTTCTGCTATCTACTACTCAGTGAACTCAAGGCTTAATTGCACTGACAGAAAATTAACCGTCGCCGTGAGCGGAAAACATCGAGCTATCTGTAAATGTAAATGTAATTGAGGCTGTCCACTTACGGGATTTATCCTATCGTTCCAGTCCCACTTGAACTTGAACTTGAGGTGGTTGCTAATGAAATAAATATACAATGTGGGAGAAGTAGGTTTTGTAAACAACTTTCATTAAACGATGCTAATGGTTGCAACACAGTACCACAGTACTAAGCACGGGCATCGACTGGATTGCTATGATACAGATATCCTCTACGAGTTCAACCGCAATTCAAGCCGAGCCGTCCTGGTATGTAGCTTACATTTATTGCTAACCGCTTGGTAGCTTCCGTAGGTTTTGTTTGATGAAGCCGTCCGGTAAATTTGGCAGCACTTAGAGCTCTTCGTGAGCAGGTATTTACCGGTACGATCTATCCAAGGAGGATGCGCCGGTGTGCTCCATATATTAATGTGATCAGCGCACATGACTTCATGTAGAGTAACGTCACAGGGTAATAAATGGACACCTATTGCCAGCATCAGTAAGAATATACTCAATATGCCAAAACAACTAAACTGAGTAGAGGAAGTGCACATCGCAGTCCACAGGACCCCACTAGTTTTGCAAAGCAGACCTATGCCCACATGTTGAGCGTAATGGTAAGAATGCAAGTCCACAGTCACTTCAAGCATATGATGAAGGAACGAACATGTTGGCATGTTAGACATTTATCGGTCATGGACATCACAAGCCTAGTGGAGGGCATTTGGGATGAGGTGATGAGCCAGTTGCCAGGATGTAAACGGAAATTCGGAAGCTTGAGAGCAATAGGGCTTCACAAGGTACATAGGTTTCTTAGCACTATAACCAAGAATGTAATTCTCGGAGCCTCAATACATATCATTACAAGCCTGTTGCACTGGTGATAAAATAGTCTAGATAGCTCACTTAGCACTAGCACCAATGGCGTAGGTCTCGGAGCCTCTATACATATCGGCACAGACCTGGTGCACTGGTGATACAGTAGCCTACGTAGGTCTCGTAGCACTTACCACCAAGAAGGTAGGTCTTGAAGCCTCAATACATATCATTACAGGCCTGTTGCACTGGTGATAAAATAGCCTAGATAGCTCCCTTAGCACTAGCACCAATGGCGTAGGTCTCGGAGCCTCTATACATATCGGCACAGACCTGGTGCACTGGTGATACAGTAGCCTACGTAGGTCCCGTAGCACTATCACCAAGAAGGTAGGTCTTGGAGCCTCAATACATATCAGCACAGACCTGGTACACTGGTGATACAGTAGCCTACGTAGGTCTCGTAGCACTTACCACCAAGAAGGTAGGTCTTGGAGCCTCAATACATATCATTACAGGCCTGTTGCACTGGTGATAAAATAGCCTAGATAGCTCCCTTAGCACTGGCACCAATGGCGTAGGTCTCGGAGCCTCTATACATATCGGCACAGACCCGGTGCACTGGTGATACAGTAGCCTACATAGGTCTCTTAGCACTAGCAGCAATGGCGTAGGTCTCGGAGCCTCAATACATATCAGCACAGACCTGGTGCACGGGTGATATTATAGCCTACATATGTCTTCGTCTACCCATCCAGACAGGGTGCCTAAAGCTCATTGCAAGAGCACCAAAAATGCCAATCAGTAGGCATCAATAGCTAGCTCTTTAGCAGCACTGGGACAATGCGGAAATGGTGACATGCAAATGATAACAGAATTGTCAAGAAACGTATTGGCACAGGTAACATTTCCGGGAACGTTGTCGTTCAGACCCATTCAAAGTGCTCACGCAAATGTGCCGGACACGTCATATGCGTCACGTCAACACAGCGGATCACTAAGGAGTGGGGTAAAAGTAATGTACTTAAAGGAAACCATTGTGAATAAGGAATGCATGGGCTTGGAGGCCCAGTTAAACAGCAATTGGGCCATTCCTGCGAGGATTACAGAGCCACCGTCCGATTCATTTACCGAATGTTCCAATCAATGCCGTCAACCGAGCAGTTGCGTCGGGTTGGCAAGACTGAAGCACACGGAAACGAAACAGGAGGTGGCCCTAAAAAGGACCAAGTTTGCGTTCTCACAGGCTGGCCCTTAAGCAGTTAGGCAAAGTCGTAATCATCGGCTGCAGTGGTTTAATGACAATGGCACAGAACTTACTGTCTGGCAAGCAGATCATGAAAGTGCTTCTTAAAACGGTTGTCTTTCCAGCAAAGGGTTCATTTGCAGTGGAATCCAGATCTACACTGAGGAGGATGTAGGTAACAATATATTATGACATACTCAAACGCAGGTTTGCGGATAGGCTGCAGCTCCGCCGAAGTGGTCGTCTCATTTTGTAAGCGCATAGGCATAGCGCGTGCGTTGTCCGTACTATGTGACACATATGCATAGCTGCAGCAGGGTACCGCGTCACAACCATCCGAAGTGTCTGAGCGGAGGTGAAAAGCTATTTAAAAGCGCTTGCAAAAGCACACATGCGTAAGTAAGCCTTTTTCAGAAATTGTTTCCACGAAACCATCCTGTTCCACGCTCTGCAGGGCCTGCCGCAAATTGGCCAGAAATAATAACGTGACATTTCACCTACATGACACGGGCGAACGCAACCTGCGGCGTACATTACGAACGTCGTCTCTTGTGACGTGTTTCCCGAATGCATTCTCGACGTACTGCTTTATGTCGCACGTAGTGGTGTTGTATCCAAATAAGTCAGCAGCTTGATTGCGTTCCTTCTCAGTAAGGTGCCTTTCGAAAAGAAACCGGTTGCATGGATGGTTGTGTGACAGCTGGAACGTTAGCACCTTTAGCTTACGGCCATCCAGAGCAACATTGACACGAGCACTGCAATCGGTGTCTCGAGAACTAAATTGGACGGTTAACAACATTGTAAACCATATACTAGACTCGCCGTATTCCTTTGCTCCTTGTTTTCCGGCGCTTACAGCGCAGGCATTTATAAACGATGCGATCACACCTCACAGCAAACAAAATTGACGTTGGTCCGATGCATAAATGACGTAAACAGGGAATAGAATTCATCAAAGCTATGAAACGAATGTCCAACAAAGGTGCCCCTAAAGTCAGCCGCCATGGTTGCAATGCGAAATAACAGCCAAATACGACCTCTTACATTAGACCTCACATAAAGTAGCGACTAAACTCATGTGCATAGATATCAACCGCTTTTGGAAAATACCGGACATAGTCGTATTTTAAGCTGTAAAATTGATGCAACTTATTTTTTTGTGGCCCACATTTCTTGCAGTTCTATGGTTGCCACTACGTGACACCATCGATAACAGCTGATCATATTTTGGGGGCGGTACTGTTTGCTCTATTGGCTGATGGGGATGAATGATATGAAGTATGTTGTTAAGACCTGATAAGGGTGTAATAAAGGTATATTGATTTAGGAGAACTGAAAATGGTGGTGCATTATTTTACGACGTATATGATGGTTTTTGTTTTAGTGCGCAGGTGTTGTTTCGGTTTCGCTGCAATGGCAAACTAATGCCAAGCCAAAAACAAAAGATAGCATTAATTAAGCTTTTTTTTCATACCTTGTTCACACTACTCAGTAACTGTTGTTTACCTTTCCATCTTCTACAGATTGATGTACGCTAGTTCCTCGGCCACAAACTTAATTTCGCGCGTCATACCGATTCAACTTTCCCTTAAAGGTTCAAATTCAAGTTCAAATTTTTCCGCCGACCTCCTTTCACTCTGAAAAAAGGTCGGCGGAAAAATTTGAACTTTTTGGTGGCTACCGGTACATCTATTAGTGGGCTGAAAGAAATTGCGTTCATAGTACTAAGAATAGGTAACATAAATTAAGGTGAATCGGTAAATGGTACTGCATTACTTATAATGTTAACATTATACTGAGTCAAAGTGCTTAAAAGAAATAAGGTCGTGATGGTGGCGGAAAATCAACCGATAGGAATGGGCTAAAATAACGTTTAGTAAATGTGGCAATATTTTTCCTTCGGAAATCGTTCTAAATAATACGTACTTATATACGGAAACTGTCTGTAGATTAGAAACGGAAAAGACTTATAACAATGCATCAAGTGAAAGGTTACGAAAACAACACGGAATGCTAATTGGAGGACTGATGTACATGGGCGACATGAAATAGAACATTTGTAGGCAATTTTATAATATTACGTAATGGTAATGAACGAAGTTGCGTAAATAGTAAGTGTGTAACTTTTTTCATTGAGTTCATTGAGTTGTAGAGAGCAGGAGGGAAATCCTTTGTCAGCCCCATCGATTCCGTGTCATACTGGGTTTGATGCGTGTCGTTGCGTTACGACGTTCCTCGATGGTTCGTCGTAATTGCAGTGACATCCGCAAGATTCCAGCATTCTCAGCGAATGTTTGGCTATCAGGCGCTTGAAAGTTTCCTCGGATGGAGCGTCTGCAACTTCTTCCGGTAGGCTGTTCCAGTCATTCACCACTCTAGTGGATAGGGTGACGACCATGCGTATTCTGTCTTCTTTGCGTAAACAGTTTCCATGTGTGACCTCGTGTGGAACAGTCAGTGTTGGGCAGGAAGAATCTTTGTAACTCACTTCCAAGTTCCCCTCGAAGGATGCGTCTAGTGTAGATGAGGTCACCCCGGCGACGGCGGAGCTCGAGGGAGAACAGATTTAGCTTCTGGAGTCGAATGGGGTACGGGAGATCACGTAGCCCCAGAACAGCTTTTGATGCACGTCTCTGAACCTTTTCC